GCAAACTGCGCGCAGAGGACAGTCTGTTGACTCTGATGCTGGACTTCCCTAGCGGGAAGGAGAAAAAAAAAGCTCTAGGCTGGGGGAACGCGGAGGGGAGCGGAAGCCCCTGCCGGACTCCAGCCAACCGGGCACCAGCAAGGAGGCGGGCCACGGGGCCCCTGAGGGCGTGGGTGCCCCTGAGCCTTTGACCACTGAGCTCGGGCAATGGAGCCAAGGCCGGGGGCTGCTTCCCGTCCCGGCAACAGGCTGAAGCAGCACAGGAGCCCGCGGAGAACAAAGGGGTGCCACAGGCCAACCTGCTGAGCTCCCAGGACAAGGAGGAAGAAACCAAAGAAGTTCTCAATGTGAAGAAATCAAGTGAGAGCAAAAAATAGTAAAATTACTTAAGAAAGAATACAAAGAAGTTCTTGTAAAAATCAAAGACTAAGTCAGAACTCAACTCACCAGCCAACATTGCAACATAAATGCGTTTTAAAAAGAAAAAAAAAGGACAGAATGTTGGAACAGCGACGGCCAGGCCTAGAGTGGCCAGGCACAAGGCAGTGGCAGCCAGACCCGGAGCAGCAACGGCCAGGCCCCAGAACAACAGCAGCCAGAACCAGAGCATCAACAGCCAGCACTGGAGTAGCCAGACCTGGGGCAGTGGCAGCCAGGCATGAGGCGGAGGCGGCCAAGCCCAGGGTGGCCAGTCCAGGAACACCCAGACCCGAGTGGCCGGGCCCGAAGAAGCCGGGCCCAGAGCAGCCGGGGTGGGAGCAGCCAGACCCAGAACAGCAGTAGCCAAGCCCAGAGCATCCAGGTCGGGAGTGGCCAGGCTCGGAGCGGCCGGGCCCAGGGCAGCCGGGCCCAGAGCAGCCGGGTCAGGTGCGGCCAGGCCCGGAGCAGCAGCTGCCAGGCTGGGAGCGGCCAGGCCCGGGGGAGCAGGCGGGTCAGGTGCGGCCAGGCCCGGAGCAGCGGCTGCCAGGCTGGGAGCGGCCAGGCCCGGGGGAGCAGGATGGGCTGGTGCGGCCAGGCCCGGAGCAGCGGCTGCCAGGCTGGGAGCGGCCAGGCCCGGGGGAGCAGGCGGGTCGGGTGCGGCCAGGCCCGGAGCAGCGGCTGCCAGGCTGGGAGCGGCCAGGCCCGGGGGAGCAGGCGGGTCGGGTGCGGCCAGGCCCGGAGCAGCGGCTGCCAGGCTGGGAGCGGCCAGGCCCGGGGGAGCTGGCTGGTCGGGTGCGGCCAGGCCCGGAGCAGCGGCTGCCAGGCTGGGAGCGGCCAGGCCCGGGGGAGCAGGCGGGTCGGGTGCGGCCAGGCCCGGAGCAGCGGCTGCCAGGCTGGGAGCGGCCAGGCCCGGGGGAGCAGGCGGGGCTGGTGCGGCCAGGCCCGGAGCAGCGGCTGCCAGGCTGGGAGCGGCCAGGCCCGGGGGAGCAGGCGGGTCGGGTGCGGCCAGGCCCGGAGCAGCGGCTGCCAGGCTGGGAGCGGCCAGGCCCGGGGGAGCAGGCGGGTCGGGTGCGGCCAGGCCCGGAGCAGCGGCTGCCAGGCTGGGAGCGGCCAGGCCCGGGGGAGCAGGCGGGTCGGGTGCGGCCAGGCCCGGAGCAGCGGCTGCCAGGCTGGGAGCGGCCAGGCCCGGGGGAGCAGGCGGGGCTGGTGCGGCCAGGCCCGGAGCAGCGGCTGCCAGGCTGGGAGCGGCCAGGCCCGGAGGAGCAGGCGGGGCTGGTGCGGCCAGGCCCGGAAGAGCGGCTGCCAGGCTGGGAGCGGCCAGGCCCGGGGGAGCAGGCGGGGCTGGTGCGGCCAGGCCCGGAGCAGCGGCTGCCAGGCTGGGAGCGGCCAGGCCCGGAGCAGCAGCAGCCAAGTCCAGAGCAACTAGGTCGGGAGCGACAGTGACCAGACCCGGAGCAGCTGGTTGTGGAACGAACCAGAGCAACAGAGGCCAGGCCCTGAGCAGCCAGGCCCAGAACAGCTCGCTCCTTGCCTGCCCCTGCCCCACGGCTGCTTCTCAGACATGGCTGGAAACTTTCGTGGGAACTTGAGGGTCTGCTGAATCAAGTGATGAAGGCTTAGATCTGGATGTGTTGAGTTAGTTTAGGACTGGGGTGTTGATCTGTGAGTGTCTTGGGTGGGGCCTGGATGAGGCTGGTTGACCTAGTGGGAAATGTCTTTTGTGTGAAGTGTATCATTGGGCATGTGGAGGTATTATTGATATGAGAAAATGCTAAGTAACTGATTTACTATCTGAAAAGGGATTTACTATTGGGGAAATTGAGGGAAGAAGAGACTGAACATAAACTGCACCTATGGATGAGGACAATGGGGGATGAAGGGGGGACGGAGGGTGGGGTGGGAACCTGGTGGAGGGGGGAAGAAATGAGGAACCTTTGTAATAATATGAACAATAAAGATTGATTTAAAAAAAAAAATCAATGGAAAAAAAAAAAATAACCTTGAAAAAAAAAAAAAAATAAAAAAATAAAAGCTGAAAAAAAAAAAAAAAACAAAAAAAAACAAACATAGGTTTAGGCCTATATTCGCTGTATAAGACTACCCCCCACTTCCAAGGCAACACCAGTTCTTTTTTTAATATATTATTGATTTTTCACTGAGAGGAGGAGAGAGGGATAAAGAGCTAGAAACATCAATGAGAAACATCGACCAGCTGCCTCTTGCACACCCCCTACCGGGGATGTGTCCGCAACCAATGTATTATACATGCCCTTGACCGGAATTGAACCTGGGACCTTTCAGTCTGCAGACCGATGCTCTACCACTGAGCCAAACCGGTTTCGGCACCAGTTCTTTTTTTAATAGACCGCCTCTTTAACTCGGCCAAATCCAAGCAGGCTTTTTATGGATTCAAATTATACATGTTCTGTACCCGAAGCTACACTGTGTTCTAGTAAAAAGCCTGCTCAGCCTTTCCGCCCGACTGTGCCACCATCATGGACACGAGTCCCATGTAGCCCATCAAGCTGGCCAGGGTGACCAAGGTGCTGGGCAGGACCGGCTCCCAGGGACAGTGCACGCAGGTCCACGTGGAGTTCATGGACGACAGGAGCCGCTCCATCATCCGCAACGTGAAAGGCCCTATGTGCGAGGACAACGTGCTCACCCTATTGGAGTCCAAGGGAGAGGCTGCAGTGAACTTGTGTCTGGGTGCTGGCTGGTTGGGTGAACACAGAGCCCACGGGGAAGATGCGCCACTGTTAATAAAGTGTTTGTGTAAATTTGAAAAAAAAAAAAAAAAAAAAAAAAAAAAAAAAAAGCCTGCTCAGATTGGCCAGAGTCAGAGAGGCTGTCTATTCAAAAAAGAACTGGTGTTGCCTCAAAAGTGGGGGGTAGTCTTATACAGCGAATATAGGCCTAAACCTATGTTTTAACTGTAAAATTAGGGCGTCATCTTATACGCCGGAAAATACAGTGTCACAATATGGCTACCCTCACATTCTCACAAGATGGCCACCACAACATGACTGGCAGGGGAGTACAATTGTGGGCAATCAGGCAGGCAGAGGAGGGCAGTTGGGGGTGGACAAGCCAGCAATGATGAAAGAGAATCATTGATTGGCTTCCTCCTGCACAACCCCCAGTGGGGATCATGCTCGAAACCCAGGCATGTGCCCTTGGCCAGAATCGAACCTGGGCCCCTTCAGTCTGCAGGCCGACGCTCTATCCACTGCGCCAAACTGGCTAGGGCCAGCAGAGCTCTTAAGTTTATTGCATGAAGGCATGACACTAGTCCAAGTGAAAAGCAGACCCCACATGGTTACATTATGCAAGTGGTGAGGTTTTTAAGCTTGTGACAAGGGACAGAAGAGAAATTCTACTCATTGCAAAGAAATCCTCACTGAGTCTTCAGTGAGCCAAAAGCTTTAGAACCCATGAACACTGAGCTTCTCGTCCTTAGCCAGTCCAGTCTCTTCAAGGCACTGGCATATGTTCTTGCACTGGTCACCCTGCAGCTGAATTACTTCTCCATTTCAATTATGGATGCTCACTGATAGTACCATTGCCCACAAATTTCGTCTTAAAGGCCTTCACTCATTTCTTTTTATCGTAATCATCAGTGATCCCTGGGACAGTAGTAAGGATGTTCCTGCCGTTTCTCTGTTGAGATGTCTCTCCCTCTCTCTCCCCCTCTCCCTTCCTCTCTGAAATCAATAAAAGAAATATATATTTTTAAAAAGAGCCATGCCGTCTAGTCTTGAAGTCCCTTATTTCAACAGAGGTCAAGCAGTAGGGGCCTGGCAGTGTCCAGCCAAAAAGAAGAAAATCAGTTAATGTTGGTGCTGTTTGCTAGAATTCAATATAACTATTGGGGGGAAGGCCAGTAATTAAACATGTTAATTTCAGTTGCTTGAAAATGTTAAATGCACTTAAAGGTGCAGCTTCTAAAACAAAACTATAGACCTAAAACACACATCCAAAAATATCAAGCTAATCAGCTGTTGATAATGACACTTCTCTACTTTCGCTCCCTATCAGACTTCCCTGGAGAAGCATCCAAGATTGAGGTTGAGCCAGACAAGGAAAGCGTTAGGGAAACTTTCTCAGTTCACCTAAATGGGAGTTAATCCGAAAATGGGGGGGGGGGAGGGGGACTGCCCTTTTCTGCTCTGCTCTAGAAAGAACCAAGTCTGGTTCACACACCAGTAGTCCTCCCCGGGAGTAGAATTTGGTAGAAAAAAAAAAACACCACCACTAAATTTTAAGGGTACACCCATAGAAGCTCTTGATAAATTTTCCAGCCTAAGGGCATGGTTATCTCTTGGAAAGCAGAAGCAGAATTTTTTATGAACCCACTAACAACAAGAATACTCCCACCCACCTTAATCTTTTCAGTCATCGGTCATTTACATTCAAAAAGTGCTTCTTAATTGGCTCACCAGCATTTTACAATTAACTTTCCCCACAAGTCGATCGTATTTTCTGCACTTGGTAACCACTGGAGGTTTTGGAGCATCGCTTCCTGCTGGAATTCTGCGTCCGGATTCTAGGAGGAACTCCCGCCTGCGACTGGGTGAGCAATGGCTTCACCAGCGGAGCTTAACCGCCCCTCCACGGGGCCCTCTTCTCAGCCGTCCAATGAAGAAGGTTCCGGTAAGACAGATGCTGTCTTTTGGGGGCACAGTGAAGAACCTGGCCTTCTTCCTTGGGGGGAGGAGGGAGCCGTCAGTGTTTTAAAAAAGAATACAGCTGAAACCGGTTTGGCTCAGTGGATAGAGCGTCGGTCTGCGGACTGAAAGGTCCCAGGTTCGATTCTGGTCAGGGGCATGTACGTTGGTTGCGGGCACATCCCTGGTTGGGGGGGTGGTGCGAGAGGCAGCTGGTCAATGTTTCTCTCTCAATGACACTATCTCTCTCCCTTCCTCTCTATAAAATATTAATAGAATATATTAAAGAAGAAGAAGAATACAGCTAAGGAGGCCCCTCCAGTGGGGGAAGAGGCACAGAGGGGGCAAAGGAAAAAGGGGAAGAGTATTAAACTGCTCTGCTTGCTTCCTATGCTTAGGAACATTTCAATCTTTTCAGCCCACTTTCTGGGGAAAAGCAACCAAAATTCTACAAGAATGGCTCCTAGGGTCTTGAAATCAGTACTTTCTTCAGTAACACAGGCCTGGTGATGGTGTAGGATCTGGTGAAAAGGAAGAAAACATGAGGGATTTAACTTCAATTTATTTTTTTTATTGATTAAAGTATTACATATGTGTCTATCCCCCCACTGTCTCCTCCACCCCCCACATTTATACCCTCACCCCCCTGATGTCTGTGTCCATTGATTAGGCTTACATGCATGCATACAAGTCCTTTGGTTGATCTCTCCTCCTTACCCCCCACTGCCCACCCCCACCTTCCCTCTGAGGATTGATGGTCTAATCAATGCTTCTCTGGCTGTGGATCTTTAACTTCAATTTAAACTAAAGGTTATATATGTATGTGTTTTTGTTATAGATTTCAGAGAGGAAAGGAGAGGTACAGAGATAGAAAGGTCCATGTTGAGAGAATCATTGATTGTCTGCCTCCTGCACATGGCCCACTGGGGATCATGTGCCCTGATAGGGAATCCAGCCACGGCCTCCTGTTTCATAGGTCTATGCTCAACCACTGAGCCATGCCAGCCGGGCAGCATTTTTTAATCTTGCCAACATTTTCAGGATTGGCTTTCTGGAGAAATCTACCCTTTAGGAGATGTTGATAAACAGGAAAATGGTGGCTTTTCAGATAACAGAGAGAGGGGCCAGATCCTACACCACCACCAGCACTGCTCAGCCACCATTTTGTTCCAGAGGAGTGAGCCTAGGAGTGGGTGAGGCTCCCAGAAAAATTAGGCCCCAGAAAGGAGGCTGGAAGGTGGGGACCTACTTAGCAGTATCCTGGAGCACTGCTTCTGAGAAAGTCCTAAATTCCATTGTAAGCCCACTCACAGCCTCATTGTATGACATGAGTTAAAGTGGTTGGCTTCCCATAATATTGGGTTTGAGTAGAGAGATTTACTTCCATGAACAATCTGGGTACTAGCCATTTCAGCTTCCTAGCTCTGCTTAAAGCTGGGAGAGATTGTTTTAAGTGAGGTTTCTTTGGCTTTTTCACTGGAGTGGGTCTTTTGTTAGAAAACTTTAGTAGAGTTACAGTTACAAAGTTGAACTGCGAAAAGATTTTGACATTTATTAATGCTTTACACCCCCTCATTTCTATTAAACATTTGCACAAATGACAATGGAATAACCGCCAGTACCTACTTTCTGTCCCATAATCTTCCACTCAGAGTTATGCACTTAGCTATACATTCAGAACTAACAAAAGCAGGAAAAAGCAAAGTCTGAAGGCACTGTTTGCCAAAATAATGGGTTTTAGAGCACGTTCTCAATGTATTAATATGCTCTCCACTGTGCAGAGTTCTCCACTAGCACAGTCAGTAAACACAGGGTAGAAGGATTCCTCCGCCTGAGAAACCTCCCCCTGTCCATGTTCCCCTGTGTAAGGGCAGGCCTAGTTTGAGCCCGAGACCAGACTAGTGGCTTGGGGGTAATGGGTCTGAAATTCCTTTCCTTTCAGCTGACACTCTAGCTGTGTCAGAAGCACTAGAAAAGAACCTTAGTAACTTGGACTCTCAACCCTAATTTCCTTCCATTCCAGGAAACCTTTCACCCCAACAGGACACAGAAGAATATGTACTGACAAGGAGTTATGGTCTGGTCTACAGGAGGAGACGTGGAGTGAGAACCATGGCGAGTCTTAAAAGAGACCTCAAAGGCCTGTTTCCAATATGGCTGAGGCGAAGGAATGAGGCTATTCAAAACCGCAAGAAGAACAAGGTGAGTTTATGTGATCTGGGCCTGCAATTCTCCCCAGGGAGGGTTGGGGTGCTCATAATGTAAATATTTACTTTTTAGAGTGGCTTTAGACTCACAGCAAAATTGAGCAGAAAAATGCAGCATTCCCATGGACCTTCTGACCCTACACACTCTCATAGCCTCCTCCACTCTCAGCATCCCACACCAGAGTGCCAGTGCTTTAGGTGATGAATCTACATTGAGGCAGTATCATCACCCAAATATAGTTTACATGACTCTTGGTGTATGTTTACTTGTCTATATTCTGTCACAAACTGGATCTCATGCAAATACTGGGTGGTAATGGACAAACACCTGATTGATAATCAACAGCTTGTTAGCCTTATAAATGGCCCATGGGCTGATACTCTTTGGTACTCATGCATTTCAATTCTACCTCCTCCCCACCACCACAAAGGTTATGTTTTTTACATTTTAGTATACCGTATTACTAAGGCTTTTTAGATTTGAGGGAACATTTGATCATTTCATTAGTCATAACACATTAATTCATTTCTTTCTCTTTTTTTCCAGCAAGAGCCAATAATTGATTGTGACTGTAGTGATTGCCAATCAAATCCAGGTCTTTCTGGTATTATTAAGGATTATGAAGCGGTTTTGGCTGCCTTGCCTAAGTTGCAAGAGTGTCAGCCTGAAGACTGATGGGTCTGGGGTTCAATTCCAGTCAAGGGCACGTGCTCAAGTGGGGAGCATTTGGAAGCAGCTGATCAATGATTCTATCTCATTGTTGATGTGTTTATCTCTCTCCCCCTCCCTGCCTCTGAAATCAATAATTATGTATATAAAATACACACCTTAAAAAAAAAAGAATTATGCCATGGCATATACTGTATTCTTGTACTCATTTGAGTTGTAACTCATTTTTGAGACACTTTCAATTTTTAGTAGCAAATGTGTGTATAAGGTATCATTAATAAAACTTCAGGCATATCTGAGCATATTAATGTTCTTGTTCTTTGATTTAATTTATTGGGGTGACAATGAAATTATATAGCTTTCTGGTGAGCAGTTGTATAATATCATCTGCATATTATATTGTGTTTGACAAGAAGGTATGGAAAGATCAGGACACAAGGAATAAGGAAACTAAGACCTATAGTTATAAGCAGTTTGAAGCCACCTAGTAAATCCCATCTTCCCTAAACTAAGGACACTTAGGGGTAAATGGTTTACACTTCTCCTCCCCAACCAGAGGGTAAATAGCTAAGTCAGGGGGGCAGATAATAGAAATCCAGTTAAGAGATTCTCATTTTGGTGCATAACATAAAGCTAGTGAATATTCTATTTCCAACCATATGATCTCACAAAGTACCCACCCTTTCAGACTTCAGGAACACCCAGAGTCCATGCCCATGCCATCCTCTTCCCCCTCTATTCATCCCACTCCTGGGGACAGACCCCTAACCTCTAAGGGACCCCATGAGACTTGCAGCCAGGGGAGCAATGGGCAGCAGTACCTCATCCTGGGCCAAACCCCTGGACCTGTCTGCAAGGTCCCTTTCCCCCTTCTCTAGACTTCCCAGAAAGCCAAAGCAGCCAGCCTAGGCTCTGCTGCTGGTTCTTTATGCCCTTGTTTCATTGTCCTAAGTATACTTTTGCTATGATCAAATTCTTGCCTGCTTTTCTCCACTTTGTCACTTGACGGAAATCTTTTCCTCAAGGAAACAAGAACCTAGGTCTCCTCTCCCAGTAACATGTTCACCCCCTTGTTAGTCTTATTTATACTTGACTGCTAGCAATGAATAAGTCAGCAGGGGCTGGGCTCCCTATTGTTTTAAAATATTTTTTAGCCTCCTCGGCTTGCCTGATGGATAGAGTACCAGGCTATCCAGGTCCAATTCCTGTCCAGGGCAGGTACCTTGGTTTCAGGGTCCTCTCACATGGATGTTTGTTTTTCCCTCTCTCACTCTTTAAAAGTTAATGGGAAAATATCCAAAGGTGAGGATTAAAAACAGGAAAAAGAAAAAAGAAAAGAGTTCAGCCAGTTTGGCTCCATGGCTGAGGTTGAACCTAGGAATCAGGAGGCCATGGTTCAATTCCGGGTCAGGGCAAATGCCCCATGTTGTGGGCTTGACTCCCAGGACTGGGCTTGCAGGAAGCAGCCCATCAATGATTCTCATCATTAATGTTTCTGTATCTCTCTCTCCACTCCTCTCTGAAATCAATAAAAAAAAAAAAAAATTAAAAAAAACAATACCAGAGTTAGAGGTAGAAGGGAATTAGAGGGTCAGACAAGAGGAAATGAAATATGATAGTGGTATAGTAAGAGAAGGTTGCCATCCAATGGTATTTTACTTAGATTATTTTCCTTTTTCATGACTCATCATCTGAAGATGTGAATTTCTTTGGGAAACAAAATATACATAAAATCTGTCATCTGCTCAAACCGGTTTGGCTCAGTGGATAGAGCTTCGGCCTGGGGACTAAAAGGTCAAGGGCATGTACCTTGTTGCGGGCACATCCCCAGAAGGAGCTGTGCAAGAGGCAACTGATTGATGATTCTCATCAATGTTTCTAATTCTCTATCCTTCTCATTCTCTCCGTAAAAAATCAATAAATATATATTTTTTTAAATCTGTCATCTACCTTCCTACCTTCATATGCTTGATGGTGTTTATCGGTTTTTAAAGAGAGAGGATGGAAGAGGGAGGGATAAAGAGACTTTGATGAGAAACATCATTGAACATTAGCCTCCCACACCCCCTCCACTGGGGATCCAGCCTGTGACCTAGGCATGTGCCCTGACCTGGAATCCAGGTCTTCTTGGTTCATGGCTCAATATTTAACCTCTGAGCAACACTGGGCAGGCAAAACTTAAATTTTAAAATATGGCTCATTTTTTTTTTTTAAGTTCCCTTAAGAGAAGAAGGGAGAAGGAAAGAGATAGACACATCAATGAGAGTATCAATGAGAGTATCATTGATCTTTTGCCCCTAGCACGTCCCCTTCAGGAAGCAAGCACAGGACTCTTGACTGGAATCAAGTCTGGAACTCTAAGCACTGATCCAAATCAGCTAGGGTTCAGATAAGGGTTTTAAAAGAATACCAGGTATTTATATTTGAATGGCAGAGGGAAAGAAATGCCAGTTTACCCTAAAAAGGATGTTGGTTTCATAAAGCCAATGATAAGTATTTTGAGCTGAAGAGGGGGGGGTTACAGGAAGGTAAATGAATTTAGTGGGCTTTGTTGCTCTAGAGCCACAACTCTGGCCCTGAGCCCTTACTCCAGGGAACATACCCCTGCCTTTCCCTCCCCCGTCCCTGCCCCAGGCACTTCACCATTAGCTTCCTCATTCCCAAACTCCCAGGGCCCTTCCTTTACTTCTTTACCTTGTTTCCTAATCCCATGTCTTCTGGCAATTACTTTCTACCTCGGTGATTTACCAAATAAGTGTTCTTTTGCAAAAATATGTGCATAAGCCCCAGCCCATTTGGCTCAGTTGATAGACCATGGGCCTGCTAGGACTAAAGCATCCTAGATTCCTTGGTTTCGGGCTCCATCCCTCATCCCTAGCCCCAGGGCTTGGTGGGCCTGGGCGGCCACCAATCCAGGTGTATTTCTCAAATCCAAATTTCTTTCCCACCTATCTTCCACTATCTTTAATCTCAGGTAAGGATAAATAAATAAATAAATAAGCATAAGTCAGGGACACAGACCATAGATTGGTGGAGACCTGGGGCCTGGGGATTGTAAGAGGTTAATGGGAGAAAAAAGGGGACAAATGTGATATTTTCAACAATAAAGATTAAAAACAAATTCTGGGTCATAATTTCACTAAAAACAAATAAGATTGTCTTTAAGTATTTTCTCATAGTTTCTAGCTGAAAAGGGGATGGGAAGATTGTACAAAATTGAACAGGAGATGCGGGAAAGATTGGGGCAGCTGGGGATTTGTTCTACTTCCTGTAGAAAATCAGCAGTTAATGTTGGTGCTCTTTACATTTAAAGATGTAGCTTATAAAATGAAATTATAGATCTAAAAATAAGACAAATATAAAATATCAAGCCAATCAGCTGTTTTTTTTTTTTTTTTTTTTTTTTTTTTTTTTTTTTTAAATATATTTTATTGATTTTTCACAGAGAGGAAGAGAGAGGGATAGAGAGTTAGAAACGTCAATGAGAGAGAATCATCGACCAGCTGCCTCTTGCACACCCCCTACTGGGGATGTGCCCGCAACCAACGTACATGCCCTTGACCGGAATCGAACCCGGGACCCTTCAGTCCCCAAGCCGACGCTCTATCCATTGAGCCAAACCGGTGCCGGCCAATCAGCTGTTTAAAGCAGGCACTTGAGAGGGCAGGGCGGGGTGAGGATGAGCTCCTGACTCCACCCCGAAGGGCGGAGTTATAATATTCCTAGCTCTCACCCAACAATCAGGGTTAGCCGAGGCAGTGACAACACCACCCACTGGAGTAAAACCCCTGGACTGGGCGAAATTTGCTCTCTTTTCCGCCATGCTGCCGGCGTGAGTGGGACAGAGCCCATGCTAGCATGGAAAAGGCTCTTTTGTTTATTGCATCGGACTCGGCTCCCTGGTGGTCCTTGGGGATCATGAAGTCTGGGCGTAACACACTTACTGCTCCTCTACTTTCCCTCATTAGCAGACTTCCCCTTAGAATCATCAAAGATTGAGGATGGGCCAGGCAAGAAAAACGTTAAGGAAACTTTCTCAATTAACGTAACTGGGAGTTAATCTGAAAATGGGGGGAAACTGCCCTTTTCTGCTCTAGAACACACCTAGTCCCATTCACAAACCAGTAGTCATCTCAGGAAGTGAAATTTGAAAGAAAAAAATAAATGGGGAGGGGAAAAAAAGAAAAAAACTACCCTAAATGTTAAGGCAACCTTAGGGAGACACGCCCATAGAGGCTCCTGGTAAACTTGCCAGCCAATGGCCAAGAGGGCTTCGATTATCTTTTTTTTTTTCTTTTCTTTTTAATATATTTTATTGATTTTTCACAGAGAGGAGGAGAGAGGGATAGAGAGTTAGAAACATCGATGGGAGAGAATCATCGATTAGCTGCCTCTTGCACACCCCCTACTGGAGATGTGCCCGCAACCATGGTACATGCCCTTGACCTGAATCGAACCCAGGACCTTTCAGTCCGCAGGCCGACGCTCTACTGCTGAGCCAAACTGGTCCCTGCAGGGCTTCGATTATCTTAAGGGAGAACAGATGCACAATCACCTATCAATCCACTAACAGGATTACTTTCACTCACCTGAACCTATCATTTACGTTCAAATAGGCTGCTTGATTGGCTTACCTGCATTATCTAGGTTAGCGCTTTCCCCACTCTTTGATCCTGCTCTTCCTGGCCTACCTTTATCGATTTGAGAGCTTTGAGCATCTGCTGGAGCTCCTTTTGGACGGAATCTAGGAGAACTTCAGGCTGTGACTAGACTGCCAATGGACTCACCAGCGAAGCGTAGCACACGCTCGACCCAGGAGTTTTCTCAGACGCCTGGGGAAGGATATTCAGGTATGATGGATGCTGTCCTTTTTGACTATGGGGGTTGGGAAGTGAAGAGCCTCCCCTTCCTACTTAGGGTGACTTCCGTGTTTTAAAGGACACAGTTGAGTAAGATCCTCCAGTGGGGGGTAGGGGAGAAGCACAGTTTTTTAATCTTGGGGAGAG